GATCAGCAATCTAGGACAGGGATGGCAAGTGCATGGCATGCGTGTGTCCCTCTCCCATCCGGTGCCAATGACAGGCATTACTAATCAATCATGGCATGCTTTCCCACTTAGCCCATTTCTTGGCATAGCATTCCAAGCAGCTATTCCCAATTGATCCCCAGTGTTGTAGGAGTAGAAACTTCCCAGGGCTCATAAAATAGTACCTGACCACTGACATCCCTGCTGCTAATGGAAATTTGTTGAGAAGGAAGGGCTCCCTGGAAGAGACTGAGATGGACAGAGAGCAGGTTCCAGGTACATGGACCAGGCTCCAGGGTCCAAGATTTTGGCACAGCCAGGAGGACTAGGCAGGCGGTGGAAGTGAAGCAGGTAGGAGAGGATTTTTGCACAGATGGACTGTGAGGTCATAACAATGGATCTCAGGGCAGAGGCCATCTGTTTGTCTGTCTACCCTCTGCACCAGTTTTATACATCTTGGCTAATGTGAGCAGCTGGTGTCTAGCCAGGTGTGTGCTACCACCAGAGAGACAGGCTGGACTCTACAGGTGCTGGTGATGGCGGTGCCCCAGCAGAAGGCAGGGACCTCCTGAGGATGCCACCATCTCTAAGATCTGCTCAGCCTACAGGGCTGGGCCAGGCCAGAGCCAAGGCCCAGGCAGGGAGGAGGGAGGGGTCCTTTGCTATAATGTCAGTGTCTCTTAACTACCCAGTGGCAGGTTCCCTTCCAGGTACAGTAAACCCGCCAGTGTTAGAATAAACATGTGAACATAAACTCGAAGGATGCAGATTGACAGGACCAAGCCTTCCTTCAGACTTGACCTTGATAGAGAGGAGCAGAGTTTTCCAAACGGGTATCCTGAGGACTTCTGCTCCTGGAGTGGTCACTGGAAGAAAGAGTTCTATGGGAAATACCGGGTGAAACAAAGAGGCCTCTTCAGGTTTTCTCAGAGCCTAACGTGTGTGAAGATACACCATGGATGTTTAAGTTGAAGACATAGCACACAGCATTGCCTAAGCTTATTCACTCATGGAAAACTTTGGGAGATTTATATCAACATCTCATGGGACTAGTGTTCCATAGAACCCAACTTTGGAAACACCTTCCACGGTTTCCCACGACTGCTCCGCAGTGCAAGCCCTCTGCAGCCCAGTCCTCCAACACCACCTGCGATTCCTGCTCCCCTCTGCTTGCTGGTGCTGTACCTGCCCCGAAATGCCCTTTCTCTGCCCTCTACCTTTCCGCATTCTGTCTATCTTAAGACCCACCCACTTCACAAAGTCCTCCCCAGGCTCCCTACAGTGGGACTCAACCACTGGCTGCTTTAGTCTCCTCAGATAGACTGTAGCTGGCATGCATTGATTCTTTGTGTCCTCCAGGCCACAGTGGTGGTGTTCCAGGGGTGCTCAGTTGATCAATTCCAGGGTGCTCAGTTGATCAGTTCAGGCCATGGCAGTTATACAGACCGACTACACCGGTAGGAAGGTGTGAGTGACTCACCTCCTAGCCACCTTCTTTCCCCTTAACTCCCATGCCCAACTCATCGGGTGTAAAGCACACATACCCCCAAGGGGGAAAGACACTTCCCCACTGTGGAACTTTGCACTCTTCCTCTGCTTCTTAATATGCAGGGAGCATAGCCAAGAGGAAAGGGAACTGTTGGTCTATTTACATGTTCTCTTTCTCCCGAGTGAAACCGGGAGTATTTTCTTATTTAATTATTAATGCCCTAAATCAGATGGCACCCAATACGTTAACCTCTGTCACTCCGAATGGAGTCAGCCTAATAACCACTGTGGCAGGATTGATTTTCCCTCAGTCATTGAATAAGCATATGTCTTTGGGATCCATCCTCTGAGCGAGCCCAGGGAGCCCCATTAAAGTTAATGGCCATGAGTTGCTCCTGTGTGGGGACAGCTTCTTTTTGTCTGCTTTTCACTCCACCTCAGTGATGTGTCTGAGACAAGTAGAAACACTTTTCTAAAATCAGTTTTTGAAAGGAACTGACTAGCTCAGCTTAGAACCCTACTGTACTTTCAAGACACTTACAGACACATTGGAAAGATGAAGCAAATACATGGAAAAGATGTCAGTGCAAGATGGGGAGAGATAAGTGCTAAACTGTGTGGCGAGGCTGTAAGTTACAGGAGTGGAGTGTGCCTGGCACTCAGTAGGTGCCAAGCCCTGTAGAGGGAGAAGGGGACAGGGCCTGAGCTGGACCTCACATGGATGGTATTTGGATATGCAGCGTGGAGGAAGAATGGAGTTGAGGGCTGGGGAGAAGTTTGAGCAAGGCTGGGGGTGGGGTAGGGGTGGAGAAAGAGCAGGAGGGAGAAAAGACCAGCCTGACCCCTGAAGGAGGTCTGGGTGATAAGGTTGTAGATTGGGCCAGGTCCAAAGAAAGTCTAAGGGCTGGGGGTGGCCGAGAGGAGCCATCTCTTCTATCTTCAGGTAGACTTGGCCTCTGAATGGGAACTTTGCGAACGCTGGGGATGGGGCTGTTCAAGGCTAGGGTGTGAATCCTGGGGAGCCCTCTGCCCTGCAAGCCTTAACACATTTAGACCATTGGTCTAAATGCCGCCTAGCTGACTGTGTCCGGTGCTCTCCCATCCATCTCCACTTCATGTATGCTCATCCAAACACCCGACATGCTCTCAGTGCCCCAGTATCCAGGTGTCTCGCGACCAGTGGGAGTCAGCTAAACTTTCCTGTCCAGAACTGATTCTGAGAGAAAGGGGTTTTCACAAAGATTGAAAAAGATCTCCCCAGTTATAGCAATGATCCAAGTTACCTCCATTTCCCATCCCTCTCTGGTCAACATGGATCAAAAGGGGCCAGAAGAACAATCTCTTGTCCAGGTGGCCTTGTCCTTTGATGTTCTAAGCTTAATAAGTTTGAAGATGCAGTTAGTGTGGTGGTGGTGGAGGGAGGGCGGGGAAAGTGGGGGGTCCTTCCGGGTGAATGCTGCAGATTACAGGAGCAGCCAAAGTAAAGAGAAGGGGCCATAGAGAGAACCAAGACAGGGCATTCTCTGCAGCTGGCATTCAGACTCCATACCTTGCAGAGTGCTGTGTCTTTATTTGATGTATTTGAGGCCTGATCAGCCCAAAACCCACCTGGAAGAAGATGCTCACAGCCAAAACTCAATGTCGTATCCTGGACAGGCTCTTTCTTGTCCCAGAGGGATCGCTTCCTCGTTGAGGAGAATGGGTTGAAATGACCTGCAGCCCCAGTGCTATATGGACTCAACTGTGAAGGGTGCTTTGTCAAGGTGGGATTAGATCTACAGGGCTGGAGGTGGGATGAGCTGAGCAGGTAAGGGAGAAGGGAGTGGCTGTGGCTTGTACTCCTGTACTCTGCAAATTGAACAGAAACACCAGAATTGGTTTTCTGTTTTCTAACTGATTTTGAGAAGACATTTAGCCAGATTATTTCCAGATCTCAAATAGAGAGAAAAACCTCATTAATCATTAATCGTTCATTTGGACTCCCACGGTTATACAGAATTGGTGACAATTTGTTTATCTTTGAAGGAGTTGCTGAGAAAGAGTTTAACAAGGAAATTCTTGGGGATAGCGGTGTGTGTGTGTGTGTGTGTGTGTGTGTGTGTGTGTGTGTGTGTGTAACTGTTCATGAAGACAGGAGCTCCATTTAGCTTCCCTCTGGGTAAAAATGGGGGCATGTACAACATCCACACTACTCTTCTCTGCCCCCAAGAAGAGTGAGTGCTTCTTCATCTCTAAACTTAGGGCCAATGGACTAGAAACCCTCGAACATTTCAAGCCTGGGGCCCCTTTTCCCATGTCAAAATATTTTCTATTTTTAATCCCCTTTCCCAATTATAGGAGTTGCCATTTTTTTTAGTGTGGTTAATTGAGAAGAAAAACTACTCTGAATTCAGTAAAGCTTTTAATCAAATCACAATAGCATCTATGTACACATGATAAATAGTGCCATCTTTCTGAGTCATAGTGTCCATTCAGTCTAAGCCAATGTTTTAGCATATAGGAATTCCAGGTCCCCTGGAGGTGGCTCTGGGGCCCCCTGCGCCCTCACTTGGTTCTCTAAGGCTATAGGACCGCAGAGTCTGGGATGCTAGGACAGGAAGGGGCCGTGGGACTCATTGCAGCCACTCCCATGTGAAGGGTCCTCTGCCTCTATAAGGAGCCCTTGGTCGGGAAATGCTCAGTTTAGGGGAACAAGGGGTTGGTGTTCTGTGTAGGAACACTTATCTCCTGTCACAGGCCATACTTCAGGGGCCTGGATCAAACTCGACAAGCTGCTTCCTTGAAGCTGCCTACCAACATGCCCATGCTCTACATCCCACGGAATGATGTGTGTTGACTTGCATCACTCTGGCTGTCAGCGACCATGTATTCCATAGGAGCAGGAGAAGCAAGAGGCAGCCTTCTGGGCAGCTTGCTTGACCAGAGCAGCCTAGAACGGTTTTCTCAGCTTAGCTTCCTGAGAGCCACATCAGACACCTTTCTTCCTGGCAGGAGGGAGTAGAAAAAGGATGTGAATGGGCAAAGCGCATCAAAGACGAGGGAGAAGCAAACAGAGGGAAGGCGTTGCCTTTAAAGTAGTTAAATCAGGGGTTCTTGGTCCAAGGATGGGCTCAGGGGCCTGAGGACACTCTGAAATAATAGTCAAATGTTGTGTGTGTGGGGGGGCATTTTTCTGGGGAGAAGGTCTCTATCTTTCTTTAGAGTCTCAAAGCAGTCTGTGAGCCAAAAGTCTTTCAGAAGCTCTGGCCTGGAGGTTCGACTTTTCCCTGACTCAGGCTTCCTATTGCCCGGTTACTCAGACCCGGTGAAGTGTTACCATGTTAGTCCAAGCCTGCGAGTGTAAAATATCAAATGCTCATTACACGATGCTGATGGGAAACCTCGTCTGCTTAGCCAGTCTGCTTAGCCCCTTCATGTGAGAAGTCTCAGCGCCAAACAGATGCCTGGGAAAATGGGCTGATTAATGGCGCTGCCTTTTTTGTTCTCCCACACAGGGCCTGGGATGGCGCTCTCAGTGACAGGGCTCATTGTCTTTCCCCTCCTGCAAGCCGTCCTCTCCCTGAACCCCGAGGACCCCAACGTGTGCAGCCATTGGGAGAGGTAAGATATGGGCCTCAGACGGCCAGGCATTCCCTGGGGGCATCACCTGGGCTTGGCACTTTGGGGATAAAAGCAGAGGCGGGAGGTACAGAATCTGTCCACCAAGGGCCTGCAGTCCCGCTGGGGAGACAGCACGGATGCTGAAAGGCAGGACAAAGCAGTACAGATTCTGCCCGAGACTCAGTGTGGTGGGAGGTCAGGGTTCAGGTGGTTGATTGACAGGCAACGTAAATGCTGTAGTCTGATAGTTGACAATGTACTCATGTTCCTCCCTGCACTCACACTTCCCAGTCATGTTATAGCCAAGGAAGTAGAGGCCTTGAGGGGCTTGGTGCCCATCACAGCCAGGTGGGGTGCAGTGAGTGACTGACTAGTCCAGATGTGTTGTCCTCTGATGCTGTGGTGGCTTTTCTGGTCTCCCAGGACTGGCAACAATACAAAGCTTGGAGGTGCAGGGTAGCCAGCAGTCTGTCCTGAGGAGGTTGGGGGAGGGGGTCCTGCTACTTCCCATCTAGTGGGAGCCTGGGTCCTGCCAGGGGAAGGGCAGCCGAGGGCTGAGGCAGAAGGGACGGCTTCGGCAGTAGGTACTGGGGGAACAGGCCTGCAGATGGCCTGACTTTGAAGTACAAGGTTAAAGTATTGATTTTGGTGAGCAGAAAGACAGTGACCAGAGAACCAATCAGGAAAAACCGAATTAAACCTTGGAATTGATTGGCCGTGCTGATCAGGATGACTCTGCCACTTAGATGTTAATAAATCAAATGAATAAAATTAAGATGAGGGCCCGATGGGGGAAGAAGATGGTGGAAAGGGACAAGTAAGGGGTTGGTCTATACTGCATGCCCAGGAGGGTGAATGTCCCAGCTCCATGGCAGGGAAAGGCACCTCACCCCGAACTCTGGAGAGACCGACTGAGGAGGCAGAGGGACAGTGCCTACACCAGCATGCTCTCCAGCGCACCAACTGGGCACTCTACAGAGAGTCCCTACAGCGTCGCGGCTGACACGGCAGGCAGTGTGCCCCCTCTCAGGGAAGTGGGAAGAACATGAGTTCTGTCATGAGTAGACCTTGGTTCATTCCAGTCTGGAGTTTTCCACCCTCTAGCTCTACGACTTTGGGGATGTCTCTGAACCACTCTGAGCTTCCTTTCACCTCTGGAAAGTGGCGGGAATAACAAACCCTTCCTCCCAGGCTTGTCGGAGGGTCAGGGAACCAGTTTCATGAAAGTGCTTTGAGGACCATAAAGCTCAGTTATTATCTTTTCTCCTTGACAACGCTGGCTTTGTAGGAAGTGGTTATCACACTTTAATGCATGCCAGGCTCACTGGGAGTGTGGATGAAAAATGAAGTATCCTGGGTCCTAGCCCAAGAGACTCCGATTCCAAAGGTCTGGGGTAGAGCCTAAGAATATGCATTTTTCCTAAGTTTTCTGTGTGATTCTGAGGTGACTTAGGCCCCCTACCCCTTCTACTTTTGGTGAATTTAAATCTTTATTCCTTAGTGGGTAAGAGAGAGATCAGGTGAAATTCCACATGGGTCTGTGGTTTGCAGACCCCAGTCTCAGGAACCCCCTCTTGTCCACCTGTCCCAGTTGAGAGATGGTTGCTTCCTGCTGATGTCTGTGCTGTATCCCAGCTCCCAGAATGCCGCCGTCCCATCCGCTCACCTCTGCCTTTCCCAGTGCCTCCAATCAGGTCCCTCTCCAGGAAGCCTTCCCTGATGGCAGGGACCACCCTGACTTCCCGCTTCTCTGAGTCCCGTTTTCACCAGTGGATCAGTTCAAACTTCAACCAAACCCTATAATTTTATAAACCTGCCAAACATGAATACATTTGGACTCTGAAAATATTCTGAACCTAGCCTGCACTAAGCTGGCTTTTCAGGCTGATTGGGCTATCAGCCAAATATATAGTTTTGATGGGAAGACAAGGAGTGACCCTAACAGCTAAAATGAGGTCTGGGGACCCCCTGGGCTTTTCCAGCCTTTATGGAGGAGGCCTTGCGGTGATGCCCCGAGAACCAGGTGCCTCCTTTTTCTTGGCTGTTCTAACTAAGCTCCACTGCCAGTTACAGATGGTTAGATCTTGTCTGTGTCATTCCAGAAACATACCTCGGTCCCCAGAGACCGATTAGGGAGAATTTCCCAGCTGGATTAGTGCTTCTGGCGGGGTCCTCGTTAATTATGCCCCTCCACCATAAAACTCAATGGAGAGACCTCCCCTGGCTAGTAAATCCCAGCTCTACAAGATTAATCTGGTCCCTCATTAGCATGTTGGCAAATGAGCATGTGAAACCATCCAGCTATGAAACCAGGGGCACATACTTCACCCTGGAGACTTGGAATTGGTTCAAGGTCTAGTTGCCAGGCTCACTCAGTGGACCCCTGCAGAGCTAGATCTGTCCCCCATGATACTCTCCCTGGCCCCTCTGTTGGGCTGATGCCTTTTCTCTGGGCACCCACTGTCCCTGTCATATCTGGGGGGCTGCCTGAAACCCCGAGTGCCTAACAAACGCCAAGAGTCCATTCTGTGTGTAGGTCTTGCTCTGTTTCCATGACCATGGTCTGGGAGGAAATACCCCTTCAGTGCCTAGCACAAGAGGTGAATTATTGCCCATCGTGTAATAATGATGGCCAGCATCCATTAGACACTATGCAGCTGTTAAGTGTTTTACATGTATCATCTTGCTTTATCTTCCCACAATGAAGGATAGACACTATTATTGCCTTCCTCACTCCTCACAATAACTACATGAAGTCCCTGGTAATATGTACCACAGATTTACAGGTGAGGAAATGGAGGCTTATATGAGCCTTATATGCCTAAGGACATACAGCTAAACAGTGACAGGGTTCCACCTTGACCCAGAGCCTAGGCACTCTTATCCATTCATTCTCCTGCCTCTAAGTGAGGTGCTCAGTAGGTGTCAGAGCTCAGAGTCATGGAATTTCCGAGTTGGAAGGGGCTTTGGGGAAGCCAGGGGTGACGTGGAGCTGCCTCAGTTTCTCCAAGCCTGGAGATAAAACGGCTATGGGCCATGTCTGCCTAGATGTGTGCCTTTGAGGCACATCTTGCCAGGTAGAGGCTCCCCGAAGGCCCTTCTTACATCCTCACTGCTTCAGAGAAACAAATGTCCCACCACCCGGAGTCCCTCCTGGGCATTGCTGACTGCTCCTGGCCTCCTCTTTCTGAATTCTAGGCCTTTGACATTTCAGGCATCAGAGACCCTGCTGTGGACTCACTCAGGGAGCTGGCCTGCCCAGCCCCCTTACGACTAAACCAACAGTTTTCCTCGGGCAAAGCAGATGGGCTTTTATAGCCTGGACCTGGCCATCTGGCGCAGGTCAGTGAGCCTTCTGGGGGAAAAACACTGAATACTACCAGCCTATATAAAAATTAATTCCTGAAACCTCAGCTGAGGTCCTCTCCCAGCCTGCACAGGAAGTGGGAATTTTTGCTTTACCTCTTGGCTTAACTGCCTTTTCATACAACTTCTGCCAGGGGTGGGCAGGTAGAAAGACTTGTTTCGGTGAAGCCGGTACCTGCTTCCCTGTGGCTTCCACCCACTGGTCCAGGTTTACAGCTAACAGGCAGGATGACAAGATACCACTTTGATCAGGAGGCCTGTGGCATGTCCTTGACGCACCCCCAGCTATACTAGAGACATAATAGGGCAGAAGGTAATGGTGACTTTGGGGAAGTACCCTCTTCGATGCTCAGTTTCCTCATCGTAAAATGAAGAATAACAATGCCACCTACCTTATAAAATTGTGCCAAGATTAGAAGGGATTAAAACGCTTAACACAGGGCACTCAATATGTATTAGCAATTATTGTTACTAGTTGTGTGACCTGGGCAAGTCACCTCTCTCTGAGCCTTAGTTTCTTCATCTATAAAATGGAGCCACTTACTTCACAGAGTTGCTGCATAAACATCTAAACCATAAACATCTAAACAAGTATGAAGTATTTTAAAACTTGTTGGCTCTGCCTTCCAGAACTACATAGGAAAAAACTAAACCTTCTTTTATTCATTCTCTGCTAAATGAACAGATGAACTAGAATTTTAGAAAATGAGTTGGACCGAAGGGCACTAAGTGCTGTGTCCTGGATTCAACCAGGGATTGGGTAGGTATGCGTGCCGAGGGCTTCCAGGGCAGCAGGAGGGTAGTGGGGTGGGGGATGTTGGAGCCCCTGGACCCTTGGCTGTGTCCTGGTTCCCCGGGGAAGGGAGATCCCATCCTGAATAGAAGCTCAGCCTCCCAAGTGCTGACCATAGCTTCCTTCTCCCATCTGGCTCTCAGCTATGCCGTGACCGTCCAGGAATCGTACGCACACCCCTTCGACCAGATCTACTACACACGATGCACAGATATCCTCAACTGGTTCAAGTGCACCAGGCACCGGTGAGTAGCTCTCTCAGATGATGGGGCAGAGAAAGAATGCCAGGCCCCCCGGGCTTGCCTTTGCGCCAGTTAGTAAAAAGCCCCTGTAGCAGCTATGGTCAGTGTACTGCTGATAGCTACGTGTTTTGGTGAAGCTGGGACCTACTCTTCACATTGAACCTCTGAGATGACCTGCAGAGGGCTTCTTTCTGGCCAGAAGAGCTAATGGGCAGGGCAGGACAGACATGCTAGAGAATTAATGCCCTTGGGGGCGCCTCTCAATCAATGACAGGTAGGGAGTTGGTTGGTAAATACCCCAGTTAACCTGCTCCATAGCACACACTGAATTGGCTGCCTTTACTATCATGTCTCATTTTTCCACTCCTCTCTAAGTGCTTCCTACGATCACCTCCCAAATAAACTGCTTGTCCTTGAATCCTTGCCTCAGGTCTGCTTCTGGGGGGATATCCAGTCTAAGCCCCTTTCAGAGCAGGTGTAGCCTCATGCCAAGGCATCTGACTTGGAGAACAGAGTGCAGGTTAGACGTCAGCACCCTCTCAGCATCCGAATGACTGCACATGGGAACCCTGCTCCTTTGTCTGCAGGCCTCCTGCAAGTCATGACATGCTCCCATGCCACTGGAGGAGAGAGTAGAGGAAAAGAGAACATGTTTTGTTGGATGACCCCGGGCAAGTCACTTTATTTTGGAATTCCATCAAACATAGAATGATCCTTGCCTTACCTACCTGCAGGGTGCAGTGAGGTCAGGGATGTGAAAATACTTTGGAAGTGCAGGGGAAAATGTAGAAAAGTGAGGTAGTGACCAAGGGAAGGTGGCATTACTATTTGAGGGGTGAAAACCAGCAGACGAAGGATAAGTAAGGGAATGAGGGAGAGGCCGCCTGAAAGTCCTGTTTCTTAATTGCTGAGCATCTGTGTTGGTTCCAGATTTCTTTTGCTTCCTCCTTGTGGGCCTAGTCCCGCTTTGGGTTTCATGCAGGTGTCATGGCTTGTACCATGTGGATGGGGAAGCTTGCTCTATGCTGAAAAGCCGAAGTCCTGGTATTTGAGGTTTTGCTAGGAACTTGCTATGAGATACTGAGCATAGATACATAGCCACTTTAAAATCCTTGTCTGCTAATCCAACATCTGTGTCACTCCAAGATTGGTCTTTGTGGATTGCCTTTTCTATTATATCGGTAATATTTCCTAGTTTCTTGATGTGTCTAGTGATTTTAAATTATATACTGGGCATTATGAACAACAGAAACTGTAGAGACTGAATTCTGCTATGTTCCTCCAGAGAGTGCTGATTTGTTGTTGCTTGTTTGTTTGTTTTAGCAGCCAGTTAACTTGGCTAAATTCAATTTCCAAACTCTGAAAGTTCAATATTTTTAGCCTTAGCTAGGTTGCTTGGAACCTGCCCTCCACACACGTAATTCAGGGGCCAGAATTTTGAGCAGAGAGTTTACAAAGAATATGGGGCTTTCTTCTTTGTGGCTCTCTCCTTTCTGGGGTTTCCCTTTTTAATTTCTAGTTGCTGGGTCTACCCTGGACTTGTCCTGTGGTTCTTCAAACCAGTAAGGTGGTATGTCTTCTATCTAAATTTTAGCCACCTGGTGTATTTGTTGTTGACCGGGGCCTGCCCTTGGGCTAACCTTGCCCAGTATCATTCCCTTTTTCCAAGTGTATACTTCTCTCCAGTCCCCGCCTTTGTTCTCTCTCTAGTGCCTTCAGGTAGTTGTTTTTTATATTTTCCCCCAGATTGTAGGACTGTTCGCAGGAGGGTTGGTCCAAGCGAAGCTACTCAGCCATTACTGCAACCCCTTCCTCTAGCCCTTGACTGTGAAATGAGGACGTAGAACCAAGGCCCCCTTCCAACTTCCCCAGTTGTGCCAAGTTAGCTGCCTGTGGCCCTGGTGAAAGGTGGAAGCAGAAATAGAAGTTCTGATCTCTCCATGAGCCTGTCAGGCCCTGTGCCAGAGCCAAGTTTGCTCGGAGGCGTGGCTTTGTTGGGTACTTGGAGGCTGGGGCTGCCGTCCATCACGGCTGGGGAAAGGTGAGTGAATGGCTGCTTATTAAAATAGGCTGCATTCCTGGAATATGAACTAGTTTGCTAAATTATTGAGTCGCCTTACAGCCTTCCTGATGACCTGGAGTGTGCATGCTGACAGCTGCACCATCAGTCTGCCTCTGTGTGGAATGGCTTGTTTGAGTGCAACATCCTTCTCCTGACAGCAGCCTGGCTCCCAGCTCCTTCCCTCTCCTGCTTCCCACCCTCGTGCTGGGAGCGAGCAAGGATGGGGAACATCTCTCCCCGGAAGGCTTTAATGATGCCAAGACCACCTCTCCCTTGGAGGGCTTGGGGAGCACCCTGTTTGGCGGGAGGAATGAACTGGATGACCTCTGAGTCAACCCCAAGTTGTTCTTTATCTGAGAGGCTTACACCACCCCTGGAATTGCCGGGAGTGGCCTGCCTGTGCTGGGAAAGTAGCTTCACTTCGAGGCCGGCTTACCTTGCCTTATGGGCTTTTGACAAAGTAGAATGACCTTAGTTTACGACATTCCCAAATATCACAGATTTCCCCAGAGTCTGCACTGTCATTTGTCATAAAGAGAGGGCTTTAAGCACCAGGAGCGCGTGCAGGAAGACTCCCTTCCCAAGTTGGCCTGCCTGACCTTCCATGGAAAGCCAGCTGTCGGCATCGCCAAGGACCGGCCCCTGCTGCTCTGCCTGCTGAGGTGGGGTCCACAGGGCAGGCTCCACAGGTGCTGGTGGAGACGCGAGGGAGCTCTGGCTTCAAGGCCCAAGGACTTGGGGTTGAGTCCTAGTTGCATGCCATGTTCTTGGGAAGTTACTTCCTCTCTCTAGTCTTTCCTGGCCACTTCACATCTCCTCCATTTTGACCCTATGTATGAGGAAGGGGCTTTGCCTATCAGTACCCCATTTTGACTCCCTCCCGAGGACTCAGTCCTCAACCATCCATTGCCCTTGTCTCACTCTTTCACTATGGCCATCTCATAAGGCTTGCAAGCCACCCTGTGGGAACTGGCACAGGGCAGTATGTTAAGCCTAGTGGCCTTGAAATTAGACTGACGTGGGTTTCAATCCTGGCTTGAAAACTATTTAGCTGTGTGACCTTGAACAAGTCATAAACAAAGTGGAGAGGGATACATAAAATTAAATAAAAATAAAACCTCTAAAAAAGAAAGAAAATGAGGGGGCATAATGATGCTAGCTGCCTCAAGGAGGGAATGGAATGAGATTTTGTCTGTCAAGCTCTCTGACACAGGGCAAGGCCTCAACACCCATGTCAGCGTAAGAACTGGAACCCCGCTCTCTGACTCCCAGCCCAGAGCTGCTTCTCTCTCTGGGCCTTAGCTTCTGCCTCGGCAGTACCAGGGGTCGGCTCTGAGCCTTCCCAGGGATTGCACGTGAGGCTCTTTCCCAGGAGGTATTATGTTTGGTGTGGGGGAGATTAACCCACCTCTGGGACTGAGTCAGACTCAGGGAGTCTTTTGGCCGACTCTGCGTCAGTTCTCCAAGTGGATGTACCAGTTCCCAGCGTCCATGAGCAGCCTGCTTGTTGGGGTGGTGGTGGTAGGCATAGAAACACTCAGAGCCCCAGTCCCGTCCAAGTCACCCCATGGGCTCCTCCAGCCCAGGGCCTGGAGGTTTGAAGGAGAAGCCCCCAGTTGCCCTCCACAGTGTCACCCCAGGAGATATCTTCTACAAGCCTTCTAAGTATCACTCTGAAGAGAGTGGGGAAAAGTCAGCCGGTGCAGCAAACGCCACATCAGTAATACATTCCGCATCACAACAGCCCACATCCCACCATCGATTGTTCTTTGTTGTGTTCCTTCATATTTGAAGCCGCCATGCATTTTAAAGTAATTATTGAATGGCATCCTCGATATAGCTTTAACACAAATATCATTCTAACGGGAGTGATTGATTCTCAATACTTTCAACTGGCTTTCTCCCTTGTGCCTTAGGATCAGCTATAAGACGGCGTATCGGCGCGGCCTCCGGACCATGTACCGGCGGAGGTCCCAGTGCTGCCCTGGCTACTACGAGAGTGGAGACTTCTGCATACGTATGTAGGGGCTGCTTCTATTTGGCTGCAGTGAGGATGGGAGGGGATGGGAAGGGAGGGGAACCGAGGGGAAGAGAGGTAGGGCTGTCGTCCAGGCCCTGGGTCACAGGCCTCAGTTGACCCAAGGACTCCAGAAGTCCCTGCCTGCCGCCAGCTCTGAGGGGACAATGGGTCTGGTGCAAATACATTAGCACGAATTTGTCCATCAGATCGACCTCCTAAAGAGGGTGGATGACAGCAAGTCAGTACTAGGCTTTGATGGGGCCGGGAGACAAGTGGACGTTTCTGGAGGGGGTGCTCTGAGAAGCGATGGGGAGCAAGTGCTAAGTGCTTGGCACAGAGCTGAGGCCATAGTAGGTGCTCAAGAGGCTTTGTTGGATGGAAGGAGAGCTGAATGGATAAATGGATGGATGGATGGATTAGGGGAAGGAAGGCAGGCTGGATCATTGGATGGCAAAATCATAGTATCTATTGGGTTGTTGGAAAAGTCATGACGCATTTTTGCAGTGAAAAACATAGAAAAAAATGTCATGACTTTTCTGACAACCCAATAAAAGAAGATTGCAAGAGTAAGACAGATCATGAGGGACTGGTTCCAGGAAGTGAGAGGATTTCCATAGAGGTCTGGAAGACAATGAAGAAAAAGTGGGTTCATGAAAGACATTTGTTACCCCTTTCCCTATTTGTCTTCAGTGGCTCAAAAAAACTGAAGCCTTAGTGTCCTCAGAGAGACAAGGGCTGTGTTGGTGGCAGCTGCAGGCCCTCTGGGGGCAGTGGGAGATACCCAGCCGCAGGAGCCTGCAGATCAGAGTTCTGGTCTCAGCTTCCCAGGCATGTGGCTTTAACCTCTCTGGGAGAATGGTTTAGGGCCCTGCTAGGGTCTAATGAACTCTGTCTCCACTCACCCCTGACCAGCGGAATGGGGCCAGTCTAGGGCTCTCCAGTAGGCATTAGAAGATTCCCTCAAACTGAAGAAGATATCAGAGAAGCCGGGAGCCCCCGTTTAATGACTAAGAGGAGAGCCAACCCCCACAGCTCCTGCCTCTGCATTTGGAGGCAGATTTGAAGAGTGATTTTCCTTGTTAGTGTTCTCCTTGCCATCTGGGTGGGTAGAGCGAACTAGCACTAGAGAGAGAATTTGGGCAGAGTGGGCGTGTTGATGTTGGGAACGAAATGACAATTCTCCCCTACTGTTGTTACATCTCCTCTAATGCTGGAGAAACTCGATTCTAATTGCATTATAGGAATGAATGAAAAATGCTCCAGCAAATGGGGTCAATACTGATGGTTTGGTAGGAAAAATACAAAGGTACTCACCCCAAGCAAACTTAAAAAGCTGTTTCTCAAAATGTAGGGCAGAGGACTCGGATGAGAGAAGGTTTTGGTCAATGCCTCACCTGGGATGGGGTTATTATGGGGACCTGGGTGCAGAAGCGAGGCTTTACTGCTGCCGCTCTCTGTCTCCCCGGAGTTGAATGTGAGTCAGGCCGACAGTGGGACACAGGAGTCATAAAGCCCAAGCAGGATGGATGCGAGCAGCCCTTCTGAGCTCAGGATGCAGTAATGGTCCCAGGAAAATTATAAAGGGAGTTCGGCTGTCAGCATGGGGGCTCCAGGAACAGATGAGCACCTTCCGTTTCTAATTTCCATTAGTGGATGTTGGTCAAGCTCTTGGAAAATGAGGAGCAGGGCAGAGGCACTAAGTGCCCTGATTGCACAGGCTCGGTCTTGCTGACTGGGAAGGCAGCTCATAACCTCCCACCTACTCCTTATGTAACCGCCGGGCATTGCCTACCGAGCTGGTGGCCACAGGCCAGTCCGTCCCAGGAAGCCAAGCTCAGAAAGCCACTTTCAGGACTGAAGGCTTTTCCTAGGAGGGGACAGGAGAGTTTCAGCAGCAAGATGGGACATTGTGGCATGCTGGGGGCTGGTCGTGATGACACAGGCAGGCAAGAGCCATACAGGCCTGGGTTGACTCTCAGCTCTACCACTCCCAGCTGCTTCCTCTTCATTCTCTTCACTGTTTACTGCAGAGTCCACAACGCATGCCAGGCACCATTTTTGATCACTCTACATATATCAGCTCAGCTCCTCACAATAGTCCTATGAAGTAGAGACCCCTGTTTCTCCCAATTTACAGATGGAGAAACTGAGTCACAGAGTGATCAAGTCACTTCACCAAGATTACCACTTTCTAGTGGGCAAGTTACTTGATCATTCTGTAACTCAGCTAGAGAGGGGTAGAACTGGAATTTGAACCCGGGCTGTCTGGCTCCGGAATCTGCTCATAAACCACTTGGACTAGGCAAGATGTCACCTCCCTGAACCTGAGTGTCTACTCGTATAAAATGAGGATAGTAATACCTACATCACCAGGCACAGGGTAGGGACTTAATAAAAGTCATCTCCCGCCTCCATGCCTTTGGGTTTAACATTTATTCAGTCTTGGCTCTTATTTTAATTTCTCAAAGATCCATGGCCCTGCTCCCTGGGGAAATGCATACTACATATATAAACCCACACATACACATGGCCCTCTGCACACAATTTCAGTGGGTTCATGGACCTTTTGAAGCCCTTACACGGTCTTTGGACCCATGATAAGTCATTTCTGCCATATGCTCATGTTTATCCATTCAGCTTATACTGGCTTTCTTCCGATTACGCAAATGCTGGAGATATAGATTCAAATGAGAGGTGGTTGCTGCCTGGAGGCGCTTACAGCCTCGTGGAAGGAGGTGGTCTGGTACACAGATACGTGCAACAGAGTGTTGTGGATGCTTTGATGGGCATCTTTATAAAGCAGAGCGGGATAAAGAGCAGAGGCTGTCTTTTTAGCCATGCCTACTTACCGGGTGTTAATGAGAAATCAGCTACAGACAGAAAAACAAAGGCGGATGCCCTGGAAGGGTGTCTCAGTCCCATAGCTATTAAACGCCTACTGTGGCCCACCCCCAGTGCTATCCTGCCGGATAGAAGAGAAGTGTCAGAAATAGCTTCTGCCCTTGTGGAACCTGCAGTCGTGTTGGGAAGGCAAACCTAGAGCGTAAGACATCATTAGATAACAGCCCAGAGAGGAATGTGAGAAAGACTAGACAGAGACCAGATAAGCTCAGGCAGGAGAGAACGCTGTGACCCCTCAGGAGGCTTTGGGGGTTGGAGCTGAATGGAAGGGCATCTTTGGAGATGGGTAGGAGAAAGAACCCCATCCAGCCAAGACATGAGCTGGGCCTGAGCATGGCGGGGAGCAAGGCAGCTGGCCTAACCACAGTGGGCAGAGCTGGGCTGGGAGAAGGGGAGTTCAGGCTGGCTGGGCGAGGTAATTATTAATTTCCTAGGGCTGCCCTTACAAAGCACCACAGCCTGGGTGGCTTAAACAGCAGCAGTTTATTGTCTCACAGTTCCGGAGGCTAGAAGTTGGAGATCGAAGTGTCTGGCAGGCTTGGTTCCTTCTGAGGGTTGTGCCAGGCTGCTCCCCGAGCTTCTGGTAGTTCTGTAGCTTGTGGCCACACAACTCCATTCTTCAAATGCGCTTTCTCCATATGGGTGTCAGTCTCTGATGTTTCCCTTTTTGTAAGGGCACCAGTCATATCAGATTAGGGCTCAGCCTAATGACCTCATTTTAACTATAAGCTCTCATTCTGCAGTACAGGGGGTTAGTTAGGAGTTCCACATTTGAATTTGAGGAGGACAGTTTAGTCCATAACAGGTGGGTGTCAGCCATTACCAGCACTCTCTTGTTGCTGCCCATTGTGATGGGCGAACAGGGAAGGGGGACTAGCCAGCCCCCCATAGGCTTTGTCTACTGTCTGTGAGAGAATGGAGACCCAGGGTCGGGAACTTGTGAGGGTGAAGGATTGTGCTCAGGGTGCTGGTGCCAGATGAGAAGTTTGTAAACCCTGGAGCATTCAGGAGCTGAAGCCCTGCAGCCCCTGCCTCTCCCCTCCTCCCCTCCCCCTGTCACCTCCCGTCTTCCCCTTCTCCCTACCTCCCCACCCCCCCTGAGGCCAGAGAACCTTCCAGGTTCACCAGAGCCAGGCAAGAACCTATGTGATGTTGAGAGTCCTCAGGACCCTGCACAGAACATCCCCCCTGATCTGGGAAGAGGCAGGGGGCGTTGACCTCCCTCCAAAGCCACCTTCCTGGAGCCGTGTTTCTAGGCACACGGTAGAAGCACACTGGCCTGGAAGTGAAAGCCTTGGCTGACTGTGCCACTAACATGCTGTGCAACCTTGGGCAAGTCCCTTTGTCTCTGGTTCCACTGTGGCATCAGATGGGCTCATCTCTGTGCACGAAAGGAGGAAAGACGAAATAATGAGCAAGAGGATCTTGGAAAGCATAAACCTGAACACAGATGCAAGTGGCACTATTTTTCTCCTCTTGGCACCGTTTCCTCTGCCCCAGAACAGCCAATCCTCATCCCAGAGCCCTTGGTAGCCCTTCTAGAATAATCCACACCAGAGCTACCCTCCCCCTTCCATTATTTTACAAATACAGTTGAATCCCCCCACCCCAGTTGCCCAGGCATCAAATGTTTCATGAGGATCACTGGTCACAAGCACATTTCCTTCTTTCTTTCTCCCTTCTTGTAAGACAAGGCAGTGGGTATCTTTACCACTGCAGACGGTGGGGTTTGAGGCATTTGGGGAAGCTCTGTTCTTTGAAAATATTAGCCTGTATCACACTGGATGAGCTGGGTTATGCTGCAGTAACAAACAACACCCAAATCCCAGTGGCTTAAAATAATTTTATTTCTTGTTCATATTACATGTCCATTGTGGGCTAGCTGGGGCCTGCTCCTTGTCACTCTCTCCCAAGGACGCAGGCCGATGGAGCAGGAACTCTGCGATGTTGTTGGTTGCCGTGGCAGAGAGAAGAGGGCTCTGAAGGGATCTTGAAGGCAGAGGACCAGAGTATTTAGTGAGAGGTATTAATGCTTATTGTAAGCGCCCTACAGATTCCACAGTAATCACACTTCACAGTCCATTCAAATGTTTTAT